CTCCTCCTCCTCCTCTTCCTCTTCCTCTTCCTCCTCCTCCTCCTCCTCCTCTTTTAAATTTGAAGTCTATAACCACCTTCTAAATAGTCTCTATTAGAAATGATATGGTGTGGTAGTTTTTTTTTGGTGGTGGTGGTGGAATGAAAAATAAAAAAGGAGAGGACATGGCTGCTCCTAGGTATGGAGGGAGAGAGTTTATTGTAGATAAAAGGGAGCACATAGTGGAGGCAGGGGCATCTGGGAGAGTCCAGAGTGGACCTGACCCTGAGCTGGGGCCCTGTGAGGAGCAAGTTGGGGGCTGGGGAGAGCAGCTGCTGACCAAGAGGGGCCGCCTGGGCCAAGAGACTGGCCAAGGGAGCAGACCAGGTAACCAAATGGCTGGATTATATGGGGAGGGTAGCTTGGCCGGAGGGTTGGGGTACAGGGTGGGGTATGCCAGCCATGCTCTATTACAGGTAGGAGGAATTGAGGCGTGTTGGGAGAACAGCCAAGTTGCTTTGATATGTTAAATAGGCACTTTGGTGTTTGGTGGTGGCGTTAGTGGGGGTTGACACCTAACAGTGCTGACTTTTTTCCTGCTTGGCTTCTAGGGCACTTTGATTTTCACAGGTTCTGTTTTAATCTTCCTTCTGGACAGCTCTCCTCCCCACCCCTCACATCATCACTGTCCTTTGGAGTGTGAGGATCCCTGCTTGCCTCAGCCCCCAGGTCTGAGATGAGGAGACAGGTAGAATCAACTGAAGCTTGAGACTAGAAGAGCCCCAGGCTCGTAGCATGCTGCAACACTCCAGCAATGTCAGCACTCTGGAGGCAGGGGCAGGACAGTCTCCACACCAGAGGTAGCTCTGACTGTCGCCTTTTCCACTCTTCGGATTGGCTGAAGCAAGACATATAGCTGAGCCAGAGAGAACGAGGAGACCACGCCGAGGCAGACATGCGGCGGAAGGAGAGTGGGCAGCCGTGAAACCTCAGAACCAGGCTCTGCTCAGGTACCTGCTAAGGAGCTTCCTGGGGCAGTGCAGGGGCGCTCCATCTCCTCACAGAGAGGTCAGGGGAAGACTAATATTTCCCAGATCATTTTTAAAAAATTAGAATGTCTCCAAAGCCTGAGTCCACACTCTTGGGAATGTCTTGGTGGCTGAGGCATGCATCATGCACCACCCCCACCCCCCAGGACATGGGAAGAAGAGTGGAAAATTAGGCACGACCAGCTTTTCCTGGGGTCAGTCTACACAGGGTTCTTCCTCTCAGTCACACTCTCTTGTATGTCTTCCAGTGAAGTTTTAGAGTTTGGGTGTAGG